TTTTTTTTTTTTGAAAAGCATTAATAGACTTTTGTTTAAAAGTCTAGAAAGAAGTTTTGCTGGTCAGCGGTTAGTTGAAGTACGATTTTCAGAAGCAGTTTTTCACTCCATATATCGAGGAATATGTGATGCATGCAAGGATTTAAACTTAATCAACAAAGAATTCATAGCAATGAGACAACAGTTCGAGGAGCAACGTCAAGACCGTTTGGTTTGTACAAGTGCTTCTGTGCCAGTGTTTCATAAAAATTTTTCACTTCTCTTTCCCTAATATATTCTTAAAATCTGTTGCGTCTGCCCCGCTTCCACGGTTTATTATGATTTAAACGTTTTGTACAAATAAATTAAGCAGTTCGAAGCAGTCCCTTAAACAGAATTATTTCTTGTACTGAATGCCCAAGATAAGCCAAGCACTGCCTTTTTTAAGACTACGGTGGGAGCATTTAAAGGAGCACTTAGTGTCACGTAAAAGGTCTTCTGGGCAAATGCACGCAGCTTCGCGGTTTGCACGGAGGAGCAACAATAGTATCAGTTCACAACATCGGATTCGTACTGGGAGTTGTACCGCGATCGAGCTGGCCTACAAGTCAAGCTTTGTTAGAGCCTCTTTTCCTCGCTTTTCTTTCCTCTTGAGCTTTAACGTTACTTTCAACCTCACCTGCTACTAGGAATGGTTTCGCTGTTGCATTCTAGTGATATTTATGTAATATGCCTAGTTGCCATGTACAAGCAGCAAGTGGACGAAATTGCTGCGCTGTCGCAGTTCACCGTGCCTTTCAAAAGTGTACCTTACTATCTTCAATCCACCTTAATACTTTGTACATATACAGAGTTCTAAACCTCACCTGATTCATTTGTAATAGTTGCAGAGTGGTTTACGTGTCTTGTGTTGACTTTTTTATGGCCACGTAGTCGAACATTATCCACCTTTGGTTGATAGCTTCAACTGAGTTAATCATTTGAACAAAAAATCCTTTGAAAATGATTCGAAGTTTGGGATTGGCACACTAGTGGCAACCTTATAATAATTAAAATTTTGAGTCATCTTCCTTAAACTTTCTAATAAATTCCTTGAAGCATGATACGGATAAAATTAGAACATATTTCCGTTGCTAATTTTTAATTTTTTTCAGCTGGAAAGTAACTGGAGATTTGCTGCAATGGTTGTCGATCGGCTTTGTCTTTTCCTGTTCACAATCTTCATTACTGTTGCTACCGGTGTAATATTATTGCCATTTCTAGTCAAAGAAACGCAGTGATCAAATGAACGCCGTCTTCTTTAGCATCTCATAGAATATCACAAAAACTGCTAACCCTGTATATACCGTTAGATGAAACAGAAGTACTAATGGTAAAACTGTAGAAGAGGGCTTAACGGGGTCTAGTCAGAAGCACTACTATGAGGTACTTTGCTGCTACTTTCTTCGATAATGGGAGATTGTTTTTTGAATACTTACCCTTTATTTCTGCTCTTTCTTCTTAGTTTTTTTTTGCGCAGATTATTAATTGTGCTGGAAGACTGAAGAAAGTTTTTCGCCTAGGCTGGTGAGATTGGCGAAGAGCGTCTGGTGAATGTTCTTGTTGCCTTTATAGGAATAAATACTTTTTTAAAGACTTCCAGAAGGACATCTTTATTATCAGTACCGTGTATTTAATGTACTAAACACTGTGATTGTTACATGGTGCAAGCAATTAAAGTGCTGCTCAACTGTTAATAACATTTGAAAGTTTAAAACCTGCGCTTAGCCTGTGCCGTATACAGGAGCCCTTCATAATAAGTCTTGAGTAGACTTTGCTTTTTCGGAAAAAAAGTTGTGGCAACAAGAAAGATTTGTATACCGTTAAGTAAACTCGTGGGCAGGCTGCAAGATAGGTTTACCAACTTCGCAGTAACCAGAGTGTTATCAAAAGTAGCTGCATCAGTTCAATATTTTTGATGTACAACACTTGAAAAAGTGCTGTCAATGATGGTTGCGATAAATACCAGTTCTGCAGCTCTACAGAAATCAAATGATATTAAAAAAGAGATTTGTTACAGCAGAGAAAGTTTAGTCGAATCTGGTAAATTATAAAAAAACTATAGTATTAACCCTGCGTTATCCTGCTCATCTGATCATAATTTAATTCATGACTTGAGGACAGTTCGGAAAAGCATCAAAATTTGAGAGCAGACGGTACGATAACGAGAGAAAGCACACTAGGTTTTTAACAGTAGATAACTCTCCTAAAACGCCATCAATTTCTTCTTGATTTCAAATTCTTCCGGGATGCGAATGTTTTCAAATGCCTGTTATTTACCAGTTAATCCGCAAAATATTTAAAACTGTTTCAAGATCAGCTTTTACGTTAATTTTTGCCCAGTTTCTCTGTCTTCGCTCTGCGTTAACCTCTGCATCATTCACGATACTTTCCGTAAAGAAATTGCGGCTAACTTTACTTCATTTTTCGTTATAGCTTTAGGACGATTACAAGCACGAACAAGTTTCGTGTTTCTGTTGATACATATGTCAACATTCGTACCCACAAAAATGGATATCTAAGTGTTCTATCAGGGTTGTGAAGATTGAGGAAGGAGTAAGAAAAAAAGGCATTATTTCACGGCTGGATGTTAAAATTGAATTGAATTTCTTCTTTTCACCTTTCCCTCCCCTGTTCTTCTGGCATAGTTTCCTCGTTACTTGAAACGACTAGACTCAGCAAATTTGTTACACGATATGCACTGTGTTCTTCTGCTAAATGCTTCTGAAAATTTTTTGTAAAGAGTACTTTATTACATACCTAAGCCCGAGTAATTGAACCTTGTAGTCATGTACGTAAAAAATAACAACCGTATGACAGAGCTTCATAAAGCTGCAGAACGAGAACTAAGATCAAACAGTAAGGTGTGAAAGGCTGGCATATTATCACACCCTCACACTTCTACTGTTTTTGTAGGCTCCTTTTTTTGTTTGCTATTGACTTCCTTCGTCCGCTCCTATTTGTTCCTCTTGACCTACCTGAATGTCCATAAAACTTTTTTGGTTTGGGACATCTAAGCTGCCGACAAAATCCCTTTTCGTGTTTCCTAAACACCTATCTACCTACAGCGTGAGTATTGCTTTGATGGTCCTTCACGCCGCAAGTATGAAAGAGCTCCTTTGTGGCCTCTCAGCGACTCATGCAATCCCGGAGGCTCGGCCTGAACGTCGTCAAACCCAAAATTTTAAATAAACTAAAATGTTTTGCATAAATAACGCGGGCTCCACAGTTCAGGAGCAAGTATACGCTTCGTAAGATAGTTGCGTACATGATAATCGTCTGCACCATTTCGCTTTTAAAGCTGTTTTGAAAATTTCCCCATCTGACTCTGGAAGCTGTTCCTGCATCTTTACTTTTCTACAAACAGCTAGAAAACAGTTTGATGCCCATACTTTTAACTGTTTTTCTATCAAATGAGTGATTCTACTTCAAGTGCCACTTTTTCAAACGATTATTTAGGTGCTTTTTTCTCTTTAAGAAGAAAAAATTCAGTGGTGATTAGAATGTCGAGAACAAAGAGTCAATAGGTTTTTAAACGGATACAACACTTTGTAGGATCAGCTGTTTGAGTGAGTAAATATTTCAACCTGCAATAGTAGTACTTGTCATCAGATTCAGGTCTGTTAAGACTCGGAGAAGCAGTGCTATTCGTTGATGAGGAGTCTCGAACAACCGTTGCTGATCACTTATACTGGTGGCCTTAATGGGGTGATGGTTGGCGCATTGTAAGCGAAATAGTTGCGGAAGGAGATGTCGGCGAAGCGGACAAGATAGCTGCAGAGGAGACGGGGGGACGGCGGTAATGCAGCAGGGTTGAGTATATGCAAGAAACTGTTAGGAAAAACTTTAAAGACAATATGTTAACATTTCGCTGTTTTTGATGAGCATGGGAGTCTTCTACACAGGCTGTTGGTCGGTCGTAAAGCAGTCCGATTCTTGGAAAGCCCTTAATATAACCGATGATGATAAACCTTCTCTTCCAGGCTGAGTAAATAAGATCAAAAGCTTGTCATTTGAAACACCAGGCTACATGAACAATAACTGACAACCGACCTAGACCACCAATCTCTAGCTCAGATTCCGTCTACATAAGTCTTATTCCCTCTACAACGCCACATTATTTTCAGGATGTAACCGTTACTGCTCGATTTACTTCATACTTGGATGTTTAGGAATTTGAGAATTGCAGTTCTCAATTTTTTATGAAATAATCACAAAGAATATTATATTACGTCTTCTTCGTAAATCCTACTCTCCAACCTACCTTAACTTGCTTATTTAAACATTTTTTGTAGCTACAATGTAACGTCACTACTTCCAACCACTTTACACTACTGTACTGTCATTTTCGCTGACCTCAATGTCTCTCTGTTTTTGTGAAGAATTTCTATCTAGGTTTTACAGCCACAGGACATCTAAATACCTTAGATGTAACTTCACTTAAGATGCACTGTAAGCTGTTTTTCTTCTTTGCCTCTCCTCACTCCACTAGAGATGTCTTTCTTTGTTCTTGTTTATTCAATGGCTGTGTATCACTACTATACTCGATTACCTTGTGTGAAGTGATGGTTTTTGATGTAAACTGAGGATTACACTTCTGCACTTTTTAAGCTCTAGTTGCAGAGAATACTGTCTTGCTTTTCATTACTACTAGGAAGGACTTCTGTTTATTGCTAGATTAGTCAGGACTAAAATTATCTGTTGCACCGATTCTGGTAACTTTCAAGTATGCAACGAAATTTAGGTTCCTAGTATCACAGTAACAGCTTCTACCACAGAGATACTAGTTTTGTTTCTTCTTTTTCACTATAATGATAGCCGGGCCTCGCTCGCTAGTAAATGAACATAACGAAAACAGAAAAACAAGTCTTTAAAGATCTTTTTGAAAAATTGGTACAACTGCCCAAATTCGGTATTTCAAGAGTTGCAATAGCAGCAAGTAATCGTTTCGATCAAGCAGGAAGCAACTGAGGCTTGGTGATGTAAGCATAAATATTAGCCCTGACGACTGCAAGACTCACAGTGTCGACAAGCTTTCTTGTAATCCTTTTCTATAGACTTTTAAAAGAATAAAGAACTCAGGATTTTCATTGGTGCAGCCTGAATTGGTTGGTAGCAACAATGCGGACTCCGATAGTTATATCAAAAATAATTAAATTCTGCAGCAGTTGTTGTTGTGATTTCTGGTGCATCTTGCTCTGTAGTTTTTTGTTTTTCTCTGCTCTGCACTACCCTGCGTCCCCTTCTCTGTGCTTTACTCTATTTTGTCCTTAGATTTGCCAGATTTGGCAGGTAAAATTTACTCAACAGTAGTTGATTCGAGTTTTCTTTGACACCGGCCCGAAAACTTCAGATGGGGAAGTAACGGGATCAAACACACTGCTGCCAGTGGTAGACGACTCAGATTAGTCGGCTTTTTCCCCAGTTTCTTGAGCAGTTGTCACTGTATTGGATATAAGCAAAAAGAAAAAAAAAGAGTGAATGTTTCAAAGAGAGCATGCAGGTGCCTGTTTATATAAGATATTAAGAGAAACAGCGATAGCAGTACTACCTCACGTGTTACTTAGTGGAGAATTTAAGCCAAAATTGAAATTAAGGTTGGCATAAGCAGAGAAGTTTAACAAATCATCGATCACAGCAGTATTTAGAGGAAAAACCTTAACGAAAGTGCGTATTTGCTAAAACAAGCCAAAAACTAGAGGGAAACTATGATGGTTACTAGAATAGCCGCCTTGTAAGTAATTGTTACTCCGTACGGCACTGGCGTTCTTTAATAGACTTTGTAAAACAACAGGTTACAGACTAGAGATTGCTGAAAAGAAATTTGCAGCATGCAAACTAGCGCCTGTTGGTTACGTTAAATTTATTCTAATTTTGTTTAGTAAATTGTTTTCTTTTTTTTTTTCTTCCACCCACTCTCTGCTCTGCGCATTTGTTTTTAAATAGTAGACCTTTCAAATTTATTTGCTAATCTGGGACCGTTTTTGACAGTTTAATTGCTCTTTCAATTTACTTCAAGAAGTCTCATCACAGCTGCAGATGTAGAAGGACCAAATGACGTCCAGTAAAAGCAACACATCGTCAGTGATGGTTCTCACGGAGGCTTCTAACAATGTGCCGGTGATGGATAACGAGTTTTCTTACTGGTAGCTCAGAAACATGAGAAAAGCTTACAAAATTTTGTAATATTTCTGCAGTCTCCAGCGGCAGGCAAAAATGATTAAAAAAGCCTGGGAACCAGTGAAAAAATAATTTGAAGTTGAAAAGCAGATGAAAGTGTATTGGAAAGCTGTAGTTACTCAATAGTACTAGACCTCACGAGATCTGTCTGAAATGGCGTACATAAATTGTGCATTACAGGTATAAAATAAACCTTTTCAAAATGTTACCCAACATCAAGAGTATCTAGATTTCCTACGACAGTCTATAAACTAAACGGTGCTACAATTGACCTGTTCTACTAAATGATGGTAGAATAACGAAAGCATTAAAGGAGGGGAAAAAAAATAACTCCCTTTCACCACTCTGGTTGTCTTATGAGCAGGTTCTTTTCTAAACAGACGGTCACGAACACGGCAAGATCAAGCACGCTTCGTTCAAATTCCATAAACAGTAGTCAGAAATCAATGACTGCTGATGAGCATTTTTTCGTATTACGTGTTCATACAAATCGAAAAAGGTAGTTTAGGTAGTGTAGAAAATGCGATTTGTAGCTGAAATGGCTCAGAATAGCATAAAACGATCCTCGAGCTCTCTCTTCCACTGACTTGCTGTGACTAATTGAACGTGACCAAAACTCTAAGATTCAGAAGTTGCGGTACCTCTGAATTTGATGAAAATTTCTATTTTGATTCTACACTTTTGGCAACATATGTTTCTACTGCTCTCCAGCAACTTCGTTCGCGGCCATCTTCAAAAGTTTTGCGGTTTTGAAATAAATTTGCCGGCAAATGCCGATTTAAATGATGCTTTCAATTTGTTCGTGCGCGGAAGTCGTCCGCTGTTAAGGAACATTTGATACATCTGCACCATGTGGTGCTGTTGATCGGGTGCTTGTTTGTTCGTTTGCCAAAAACGTTTGCATTTTTCTGCTGACTGACACACTCGTTACTGTTGTCAGTGTATGTGATCTGGGTGAGCTGGATTCTAATAGCAGCGTCGGCTTTTTTTGTCAGAAAACGAACGGAGTGTTGTAAAAAACGATGAATAAATATCACAGAATGGAATTAAGTTTTGTGCAGTTTTTGTATCCTTCTCTCCATATAGCCGTCGTCCCTTAAGTAGATTTTTGGATACTGATTTACTGGTGGGGATGAGTTTGCGTTGTCCAGAGCGCAAAATTTCTTCGTTGGCGTAAGGCAGAAACCATCTTATGGTGCCGCAACAGGGACGACTTGTTTTTCACATTTGACCTATATGAGGGAAAGAAGTATAATAGTCTCTGAATTTATTACCGTTCATGAGGTTTTTCAACTTTGTTACTTTTATTGTTCTGGCGGTTTTAAAGTTGAAAATTTCCTTCATAGGACTTGCCTTGCAGTGCCTTGTTCAAATGGGGCAGTTTCTTCCAAGTGCAGTTGTAACGGTGATTATGCAAAGAACACTTAAGAAGCATGCAGTTCTCGACATTTTTTAAAATTTTTTTCATTGTCGAGCTCTGAAGTTTCACGCTTTTGAGCAGCTTTGCTCTTATTCTGAGACGAAAGTGCTGATTTAGTCTAGTCTCATAGTTGTATGTTCCAATCTTTTTCTCTTCAGTTTTGCTTAGCCCTTCTGGTGAATTCGCAGGGTCAAATCTCTCTTGACAGTTTCTTAATTGTGGTTTGAAGGGAAAGTCAAAATGGCTTCAATCCCAACGTAAGTGGTCAGAAATTACGAAACTTGTGGGTTTAGTTGATGCTGTAGCTTTCTAAAAATATTAGCCTTATTTCATTTACGCTTCGTTATATGTTAAGGAGCGTTGACGAGCAGACTAGAAGGAATGAAGAGCTGGCAACTGCGATCCTGAAGGATAAGGTTAAGCCTAATCGGTTAATGGTCGATCAGTCCTCCAACGATGACAACTCGGTCGTTGGGCTATCGCAGGTGGATTTTAGACTAGTTCAGATACCATTTATATATGTAAATTTAGCTTTCCTTCTTCCGTATTCCATGCTGCTATTTTCAACGGTTTCTAGGCAAAAATGGACGAACTGGGTCTTTTCCGAGGCGATGCTATACTGCTGAAGGGTAAAAAACGCAAAGAAACCGTGTGCGTCGCCCTTCCTGACGAAAGTTGTTCAAATGAGAAGATTAAAATGAATCGTGTTGTTCGAAACAATCTTCGAGTTCGTCTTGGTGATATCATTAGGTGATACTTTTTCTTCTCCAAAGTCTAATTATGGTATTTGTCCAAAAAAATTTCTTTGAGTTCGGTCTTATCATATTTTGAATGTTTATAGACGAATTACTTTTTCATATAGGTATTAATTAGTATAAACAAGCAGTTTGTTTCAAAGCAGTGGCTTTTCTTTTCCCTCTTCAAACACGGTTTTTTCTTGCAGTGGAAAGGTTCTCGTATGTTATTCTTTGTTCTTGCAGCGTAAATCCAGCAACAGATTTACCTTATGGCAAGCGAATACATGTCCTACCCATTGACGATACTATCGAGGGGCTAACGGGGTTCGCATCTTTGTTATTCCTATGTCGAAAAATTCCTTTGTTTATGCGGTCACTTTTCAGTTTTGGACTCAGTAGTTAACCCTCTACCTTAACAGGTTGTTTCAGGAATCTTTTTGAAGTTTTTCTAAAACCTTATTTTTTGGAATCCTATCGTCCAATACACAAGGGTGATCTCTTCACTGTTAATGCTGCAATGAGGACAGTGGAATTTAAGGTATATATATTCGTGTTTTTGTTGGTGTTTTTTTGAAATTTTTGCTGTGTGGTTCAGGTTATTGAGACGGAGCCGACTCCATCGTGTATAGTTTCTGCTGAAACTGTGATACATTTTGAAGGAGAGCCTGTGAAGAGAGAAGAAGAGGAAGAAAGCATGACGGATG